CCGACTCCCAGACGGTTCCACCAACGTTGCCTCCGTACAATCCTAAACATCCATTGGTCTGACTATGGGGCTGATTTTACTGTTCTTACACGGGCAGCGGTCAGAGTACTGAGGTCATACTACTAAGAAGGCAGTTGCGCTCGGTGAGCACATTTCCAGGATGGATGATCACCACCTTTCTATGATTGTGTTATGTGGTGAACTTGCCCCAGGCTTCCGCAAAAGAAGAGTCCCAAAGAGGAGCAAGGAGAAGCACAAGATGCCCTGAAGCAATACCTCAGCCATGGCCATATAGGCTACCATCAATGTCCACTCTGACCTCAAGTTGGGAGACAATCATTCATATCGCCTCTGCTTCCTTTGAGAATACAAAAAGAATCAGCTTTGAGGACAAAAGATAAGCAAAAAGAATTGTATTTAGCCAATACCGTCTAAAAAGACTTTCCGTTGTGCCTTTTGCAATCGGACTTGCTAATCTAGCATCGGTCTTTTTAGTCATCGGCATGTTTGCAGCAAGAATGGATAGAGTCCTTCACATACCTTCGTTCACGAAGCCTATCCATGACGACGACTTGAATCTTGCTCGAATCCTACTTTTAAAAAGCTATTCTACCATTTTGTAAGTATCAAGTCATTCTACTAACTAATTACAAGTCTGAACTAATTACAAATCATATTTCCATACGCTTATTTGTATGTCATTTTTGTTCCTTTTTGCAGTTAGATTCGGTACTCTTAAAGTTTTTTTTACAAACTCTTGCAAATTTGTTTTATAAATAAAATACTGCTTTACATCCTTTGTTATGAGAAATTATTAAATAGTACAAATAACATTAAAATATGATGCAGTTGTGCATTTATAGGTCTATACCTATTTGTCCAGGTATCAGTTAACCGAACGAAGCGAGTAGGATTTGCAATATTTTTTCAAAGTTAACCCTTGCCTTCGAGGTTCATGAACTTTGTTCTTCCAAGATTTTTTGGTTTGTGTATTTGAAGAAATCTTAAATGGAATGGTGGTGTTTTAATTTAATTCCTGTTATACAATCACCTTTGACTTTTATTTAGTTTTAGTAGACCAGAATTGGATAGGAGAAGCGATTAGAGTAACTATAATGATGGATGAATTGCTGAACATAAAATGTGTTTTTTTTTTGTTCTTGCAAATGCTTTTCGTTAGGGAATACTACGTTTCGATTTTTCTTCTTGGGATTGTTATAAAGCCTTTATCCAGTTTGTTTCAAACTTCCTTTTTTATTGCTTTGATTGCTTGGCATTTATCCATTTCCAGATTTTAAAAGTCCCTAAAATATTTGTGATGCTAGAAGAGCAGGTTTTCATGGCATATACGCAATAATAGAAATATTTTGGATATGTTTAACAGATCGTTAATTTCCAGGACAGGAATGCTTACTTGCTTGTCTATTATAAGAGCAAGGTGTTGCTATTGCTCGAGATCTGTGATAGTTCTAAATAGTGGACTTTGAGCAGTGTTTTGTGACTCGTAGTTTGTCTTTAACTTGTTATTTTCAGTTGAAATTATTTTGAATTAAAGGAAATATATTTTCTTGCCTCAAATGACCTTTTTTCACCCTTAAATGAACGACTGATAATATGACCAGCAGGTGAATCAATTGGAAAGATTTTTTAGTTTAGATTCTCATTTCATACACGAAGTTAACGCATGATCATATCAAACGTGCAGTGCAAGAATGTCACCACCTGGAAACACATTTACTGATGAACCATTGTTGGTAATCCGTAATTTATTTACAGCAAAATTACAGATAATCCTAATTTTCATCAAAATGAGTTCCTAAACAACTCTGCTTTATATGCCTTGCCTTTTTATCTCCAAATCACTGCATCAAAATTTTTTCTTATCATTGAAAATGAGTGCCTGTCTTATAGGTTTGTATTCTTACATTTTCATGTTAGCAGATTTATCTCTATAGTTTCCTATATAGATAAATTTGCTAACTTAAAAATGTAAGAAAATCATCAGTCTGCATACATTTGAAAGATTAATCAGCACAGTCCTATGAATTGCTTAGATGAAAGAAATGTTTCATTGCGCGAACATAATTTAGTTTCTTTTTTGATCATCCGTTTCATACAGATGTTTATGTCTACGAAACTCTCTTACATTTGTTATTGTTCACTTCAGATTTTTCCTAAAATACTTCAAACTTCATACTAAATCAAATATTTTGAAATAGTTATAACCGATAATTTCGGACAAATTTCTAAGATTTTTAAATGTATTTCCAGCGATATCAATGCTAGAAGACGTATGAAATGAATGGTACTGTTCAAAGCGTTTCGCATACTTGTCCTAAATTTATGCGTCAACTGAAGTGTTGCTTGTCTTTTGTAATCTCGAAGTTTTTAAGATTATTATCTTCCCATTGCTTGTTTAAAATGCTTTTACTGAACGAACGTTACGAAAAGAACCAATAATTTCCTTATCGTGACACTGGAAAATTCATTCCTAAAATTTGTTTTTTTATTTTTACTTTTTACATCCATACTGACGTGTAAGAAACGCAATCTAGGATGAAATCTAGACAAGTTAAGATTAATTCATAGCTCATTAATATAATAGAGTATCATGACTTTTTAACTTGTGGTCTTTTCATATTTCAATACGGAGCAGTATTTTCTGAAAAATCATCAAATTATTTTCGATTGAAAACATAACTAGAACGAAATTTTCAGGCTTTCTGCACGAGTCTTATGCGAAAAACTGCATTGGGTTCTGTCACAAACTTTTTTTTTATCTACAAGCAGTCATATAGTTCTTGAATGGTCTAATATTGTAGTAGCGGTAGTGATAATTCTGCTAAATATTTATTTACATGATTTATTTCCCCTTATATTCTCTCAACAAGTTCCGTCACTTACTAATATGTTTAATGCACAGTTATTTTGTAACTGAAGGTACACCTTTATACTTACCACTCATTTAGAAAAAAATTGTTTAAAAGAAATGTTTGAAAGAATGATTATATATCATAGTAAGCCTGCGTTAGACGTGGACTACAGAACAAGTTTCCTACTATATTTCTAGTACGGGATGTATTTAATAATTTCGAGCCTAGTGCTAGAAATGTTGCATCTTCAAAAAAAATTTTCAATAGTTTCACTGGAAAGATATCCAGATAGAGTAAAACGTTAGCAACAATGTTGTACATATAAATCATGCCGATGTTTAGAAGAACTTTTGAAACGGAACAGTACGGTGTTTCAAATTGGGTTGCTTGGTATCACCTTGATCGACAAATATTTCCGTTTAGGATTCATGAAAAAGTAATTTTCCTATCGAATTAAAAGACAGATTTCATATGTTTAGTATTTATCTAAGAGATTTTCTTTGCGTATTGCATCACCTCATTTGAGATACTTGCTGTTCACCTTCACCTGTTGAACTTTGTAAAATATGCATTATGATCTCAAAAAGTTTACTGAAGCCTACTATTGCCTGGATTCTTCGCTTAGTCAATCCTGGACATCTTATTATTGCGGTAAGATTGGTATTGATTCACAAGGATTCACATAGATATGTTGAAGGAGGCCCTTAATTTTGGTTGTCAAGCTATACTTTTATTCCAACTAATAATTAAACTGTGAAATGTTCAAATCATCTAATCTTTTATGGCAGCAACTGCCATGCTTCTTTGATTTACTTGTAGTTTTTGAAGTATATTTTCATCTGCATATATACTACAGAAAAGTTTTTATGTCTAGATCAAGGCAAAACATCAGAATAGATTTCATGAAGAATTAGAATTTAAAGAGAGTTCATTTTCAAATCATGGACAAAAAGTTAAATTTTTCGATTACTCGGCCAAGGACTTCCGGCAATTTACCGGTCATTCTATTGGTACTTTTTCAGAATAGAAATTAGTTTTTTTTCTCAATAACATATTCCACATCATAGCCATTGTAACGAGACTTTAGTCGAAAAGCTAATTTTTAATGTTCCTTACTGACTATTAATACCTCCATATAAAAAATTTAAGTTCTCCATTTCATAAAAAGTTCCCGCCACTTCCAATTTTCCAGTAATAATTATGCTTTAGACAAGGTCTTGGGAAATAATTTAAACAATTATTAAGCAGTTACTTCGAAAAACATTATTTTTATATGTACATTTATCGGATAAAATTAAATCAAAACATTTTCGAAAGAAGTCATTTTTGTTGGTGGGATCACAAAGTAGTATTAGTGAAATTGAGCTAAAATTATCTGAGACTTAAAATTCTTCTGTGACATTTCGTACATCCTTCACCTATTTTTGTTTACAATCGCGTACGATTGCGCGTAAAATAAGCTGTATATATTTAATTTATATTTAATTTGAGAAAAGAACTGCTTTCGTTGGAGCAAACTTTTACAGTACTATTCGAAAGAAGTATTCCCTCAAAATTTTCTTAGAAACCGTGTACGTCTTTTAAAAATTCACACTGTAAATAGAAGTCTTGTGATAGGCGAATAAGTAATAAAAGAGGTGATGATATGAATTGGAAGTGAAAGCAAATTTTTTATATTACTTTTTTTCTTCTTTTAAATTAAGGTGTTTTGGTCAGATTAGACTGACATTTTGTGAACTTTCCCAACTTTTCAATGTTGCTGATAGAACCTTGACAGAAATGGAATACGTTTCATGCGAATATATTTACAAGCTCCTAACAACGGTATAGAATTCCATTTAAATAATATAGTTTGAAAGTGCTTAACCTCATTTCACAGTTAAGTAGATTATGACGTCGCAGAGAATGGAACGCTTTTTGCTTGCCCAAACTGACATTAGCGCAAAGCGTACAAAGACTAACTGCTGAGAAGATAGAAAAGTGACTATTTCATGTTTTTTGCTATTTCGCATAAAGTTTTCTTTTGCACCAATAATTAATTAATTAAATAAATAAGTAAGCAAATATACAAGTGAATAAATAAATAAACAGACAAATGAATAAAT